TGATTTGATGTGAATTAATAGCCTAGTCTGCATGCCTGAGGCGCCTGCCAATGCCACCCCAAAACTCCCCGTGAAAGTATATCCCTAGAGGACTTGAAAGATAAATAGCGGCTCCCCTCCCCAGTGCTGTTTCCCGACATCGCAAACCAATACCTCCATTTCAAGATTCTCTATTCAGCCAAGCTATTGTAACGAAGGTCGCTGGAAAACCTAATCGATACGTTGGTGCGCAAGACATCGCTCAACGATCCGGCGGACCTGTTAGTCAAACACCCTATCCTAAACAATTATTTCTAACATAAACCATTGCCACAGCCCATCATGGAGGCATTCACTGGAGGAGTGTCGCCGACTACAACGTTTATTAATGGCGTGGCAGTTGTCCAATATCCATTCAAAGGAGGATTGACGTATGTGTTCTACTGGAACTCGTCTGGTACATTGTCCTTCCTCCACGGGAACAAGATCTCCGGAGGTGTCAATTCCTATAGCGATAAGAGTATCACAGTCGGTTCGTCCACTGTTTCGAACAATTCCAACAACTCACCACTGGCCGCCGCGCTGACCAGTGACGGCAATGTAAGTACTCTATGTTGAACATACCTGAAACATTGTACTAATATATTTACTCTCAGATCCATGTGTTTTACGCTGATAACAAGGCCAGCCGACTTCTTACTGAAATCATCTATAATCCTAACACCAATACTTGGTCGACTGGTACGCTGTCGACCCTTCAACTCCTGGTTCATGATGAGAGTGGAATTGGTGCATCAAACGAGCCGATCCTGAAGGTTGTCTTCCAGAGCAAGGGCCAATCGAGCAGCATCACTGAAGCTTGGTGGGACCCTAGTGGCCCGCAATGGAATTCCATGGTTATTTCTTAACTATGAACCATGCCAGTGGGATTCGAGGCAGTCGTGGTGAGAACGTTTGCCAGACCGACCGATCACGATCCACCGAGAGCCGTGCTCCATATGCAGAACGAAGATAAAGGACAGTAAAGGATTTGAGATTGCGGCAGCTTGAGATAGTTTCCACGCTTTTTCACTCTCCTTATGAAGTTCGATAGTTTAGGCTAGTCATTTAAGCACATTCTGCAAATCGAATTCCGTATCAGTCATAACAGAAGCATTCGATCATGTAAACCGACTGCAACTTGACCTTTCAGTCACGGATCCTTCAATTCATCCGCGGATTATCTCTCACACGGTACCCACCGAAGCATCTTCTCATAATTTCCAGAAATAAGGCTTTATCCTCTCTCGTGAGATTATCCTCGAAGTCCTCTAGGGATATACTTTCACGGGGAGTTTTGGGGTGGCATTGGCAGGCGCCTCAGGCATGCAGACTAGGCTATTAATTCACATCAAATCA